TATTTTTAAAAGTAGAAACATGTTTGTTATTTATGAGCGAGGGCAATGATAATACCTGACCTAGGAGTCTAGACTGCCTGGGAAGGAGTCTCTGAGTTTCCTGAGGGAACGTGACTGTGGCAGTGGTCGGTACAAGCTGTAGTGGCACAAAGTAATACTGCTATCAGTGAGGTTTGTAGGGAGACCATGTCTTTGATTCAGATTTCATGTGATGAAGAATCTTATGAAGCTAATGAGGATGATAAGGCAGAGAAGGAAGCTGGTGTGGGATGTGTGTAACTGGTACATTCAGTTAGCACTTGAGGTTTCCTAAATTTCAAGGAGTTAAGGAAAGGTAAGTCAACACTGGTCTCCAGTTTTAAGACAGAATAATTGATTGTGTAGCACTGGTGACATCCAAGAAAAGGGAAGTTGTGGAGAGAATGAAAGCCAGTTCTGAGGAACAGATTTGCACCATTTAAGGTAACTTTTGGAATGATGAGCAGACAGCAATGTCCCAGAAGATATTGGGAAATATGTTTGACAAAATTTTTCGGATGAGGCTATAATGTTGATCTTCCATGTTTTAGTTAGAAAGAATAGTGAACCCCACAAGAGTAGAGAAATCCCCAGGGGTATGTGTAAGAGAGAGCATCATTGAGCCACAGGCAGCTTTGGAGGAGCCTGGTTGAGAAAGCAGGAGGAAGATGAGGAATCAGTATTTGCACACATTCATTTCTTTTCTGTTGCTGTGATAAAATGGCCTGACAAAAGCACCTTCAGGGAGAAGGGGCTTATTCTGGCTCACAGCTCAAGGGTACAGTTTATCATGGTGAACCAGCTGGTCACAACACAGCCAGGAACTGGTCACAACACAACCAGGAACTGAAGAGGGATAAGGGCTGCTACTCAGCCTCCTTTTTCAAGTTACACAGTCCAGGATCTCAGCCAGGGAATGGTGCCACCAGCAGTGGACAGGTCTTCCCACATCAATGATAGTATCACGATATCCCACACAAGCATGTACAGAGGCCCATCTCCCAAATGATTCTGTCCAGTAGACAGTTACCACTAACTAATACAGTGTGTCAAAGAGAGGAGAAAATCACTGCATACAAAGGACATGATTTTAGAAAGGAACAGTGTAAGTGCAGAGAGATCAGAGAGCTTAAATAAATTCAACACTTGACTGGTCGATTCCAGTCTCCCTTTGAACAATATATTCCTGATTAAGGAATAACTATTTAAACCTCTTTTGCTAAGAATTAAACATCTTTTATTTAGTAGAGAAAGAACTATTAAAGATTATAGTTTTATAAGAAATGTAATCTTCATGGTCTATCTTTGATACTACTTTTTAAAGTATCTACTTTCCTGACGGTAAAAACTTAGAGCCACGTTATACCTGCAAGTTGAATTTTAATAATAAATTCAGTTACAGTCATTTAAATTTCATCTCCAATGGTGGAATGCACTAAAAGGATCTATTTCTGCCAAGTTTTCTTGACATGACAGGAGAAAAAGAAACTTTTTTAAAATCAATTTTACTTTTCTACCAAAGAACAATATAATCTGATTAACTTTCTTATCCATCAGAAGTGCAAGACTTCCGGACAGAGGCAGAGGTTTATGGGCACAAAATTGAGAACAATTAGCACTCAAATTAATGTTACATGACATTCAACATCTGGGATGTGTGCTGTCATTTTGGGTCATAGACCACCTGCTGGGCTTGGTGTTTATATGACTGTAATTTACTCTGCATACAAATGGAAGAAAAATGGCCCTTTAAATTTCTTTCTAAATTTAATGGTACCGTACTGTAGTTCTTTTCTCATTTTC